TGTGCAAATAGTTCTCCATAACATCAAAGCACGAAACTTGAGTTTGTTGTTTGCAAAGAAAAGAAAAGTAGGAAGACTGGAGAAAGCAATGTCCAATTATGCTGTCATGTCTTCAATGCTTGTTCTCCCTACAAACCATTCCCGTGTATCAAGGTTCATGGAAAGTGTGGTTGACAGTAATGCAGTGAAAGCAATTGGAGATGCCATAGACTTTGAGTTTCAAGCTCGTGTTGTTGTGGAAGGCCTGGCAAAGAAAGCTGCAATTTCAAAGGCTCAAGTTGGAAATACAGCATTCAGAAAAATGAGGCAACTATCCTTTGTTACAGATAGAATTGACTGCATACTTCAAGAACCAGGTTTGGTTGGTAACAATGAAAGGATTGCATGTCTCACAAGATTAGTAGAAATGGGAACTGAATGTATTTTATCACTAAAAGACTTGTAAAAACTAAGCAAATATTGAAAAAACATTCAGTTTAATGCATGTCCTTTTCATTTTGGTAAATTTTGATAATTMTATTTTGCAAGAAAGTAAAGATTTATTTAAAAGTATGACAAATAACAATATTTTGTAAAAATTTAATATAGAATTTGGATGTAGAAAAATGAAAATGTGACTCTATTAAATTAAATCTTAATTTTACATTTGACAACTACATAGTAGTGTGCAAACTTTAAACCCAATGGCTATAATAGAGTTTCCCGTCACAAAAAGCTTCCCATTCCCTTTTCAATAGTTCATTTTCTATTCATATTTGCTATTGAAATTTGATATTTTCTTTTGGAACTTTAATTTGATAATGATGTATTGGTTTGTTAAAAACAGAAAGGCTGCATGCATCAAATCCCAGAACCTACTATCACTGACACTTTACACGGACATGTACATGATTGTATATTTAGGTATAAGTTTTTCTTGTACTATGATAGACCCATAGGTRTCCCACTTTCAAAGTGGCCTCCCATTGGCTCACGTTTTTCATATCTGAAAATCATGATATCCTGAAGAACAACTTTGCACATTAGGGGAGAGGGGGTCATTTTGGAAAGGGGGTAGGGGAATGGAAGAGAGGGCCTGCATAATTCTTGCACTTGTAAAAAAGAATTTGTTAGTCCTATAGTCCCATTTCGTCTATGAAAGAAAACAGGTTGAAGTAGAACCACTGTAGTGACTTATCAAATCAGAGCAGTCAAATGATAATGAAGATACATCATATTTTTCAAAATTATGGTAGATTGTCATAGCCCTCTAAAGTCAAGACTGAATTAATWTGAGCTTTTGTCTTCAATGTGGCATTTTGTCAGCATTTTGTCGACCCCACCTTAATGTTAGGCTCATCTTTGTTGTACTTATTTTCTATCTGATTCTATTTGCTGCAGGCTTGCACTTTTATTTTTGAAAGATTATAAATCTTTGGGTTTGGAGTAGAGAAAACGTTATGGGAGAAGAGAAGGGYATGATAATACATACTGGCAGAAGTTCCTGAAAGAGTTAATGGAAATTGCCTGTTTACTCCCCAATGAATTGGGCAAATTATTTAGAAGCAATAAGACCCCCTGTACAATGTTCAATCAGAATGATGCCTACAAAGCCATCTAACAGTGACTTAAAACTTTATTGCTTTGGACTGATTTATACATTTGACAACTAGTGGTGTGCAAACTAAGCCCAATGGCTATAAATTGAGATTCCAACTACAAAAGCCTCCCACTCCCTTTTCAATATTTCGTTTTAACCTTTCTATTCATATTTCTTTAAAAGAAAATAATTACTGCTTCCAAAGGAAAAGCTCATGCCACTCTATGTTGCACGTGAATATATATCTCCTAATATAGAAGATCGTCATTACTACACAAAGACTTCTGGTTACACCTATTACGATTAACTTTGATTTACATCTATCTCTGATTTTTCCCCAATATGATTACTTTTTTTGGAGTCAGAAAAAGTAATCCAAGGAAAAACCCTATGCTACTACATGAATTGTAACATGCATAGCATGCTATTGTTGATAGCAGTCCTTATATTATTCATAAACTTACATGTGTACTTTTCATGCTGCCGTGATTTGCTCAGCAAATTAGCGTGCTACAATTAATTCAACTATCCATCTACATACATTGTGAATGATGATCATTTTCATCTTCATTAATTTTGGTGACTCAATAAAAATGAATATTATACAGACCTTGAAACTTAAAATGACAATATTGATCGATACAGTGATACTGTTTGTACGAGCCCCTTGGGAACAAAATGAATAATATGCTTTTTTAAATAACTTAAATGCGTGATATAGACTAATGGCAGTCAACCCGTGAAATGTATACTGTTCATTCCATTACACCTGGTAAATTGTCTTTCACGGGTTTAGAGCCCTCATTCTATCTTCTATATATTATGGGATACATGCTCTCTGATAATCTACGATACGTCTGGTTTTCAATGTGACTAATAAAGTAACRGGAATGACTTGTTTTACACATTTGTGTGTTCACCAAAAGGCGGTCTTGGAGGTTCCTCCTGTTGAAGACAAATTTTTCTATTAATATGTATCAAAACCACCGGCATCTTAGTCCTATCTCAAACGTCGGAWTCATACGTACTGAACCCAATGCAACTGAGTTGATAGTGGTTTTGTATTGACTTCTGCACATGTGAGATTCGGAGAATTTAACGGACTATAGCCTCCTTTAGTTACAATATTGTATTAAAGTAGACAAGCTGCATATGCAGGACGCTCGTGGTCCATTAAGAAACACAGGAATCCTAATACTTACATTGACAGGGACGCGCACCGACCCAGCACTGCTTTGGGTGGATCCACGAGCAGTTGAGCGACCAGATTTGGCAGTATTAACGCGGGATGCGCTAGGACTTGGGCCTCGAGAGTCTGGTCGTGTCATCGATGCCTCGCTATCCCATCGTTCAAGCTCTTCACGGACGAGCTTTTCCATTTGATCTCGCTTCAAGTCATCATCACTTCGTCCTGATTTCTCGTTCTGCGAAAAACAAACATTGATATGAATTACAAGATGCATGGCACAAGATACACATATACTTAGAAATTACCTCTGTAATACTGTCTAACAATTTCGCCATCGTTTCTCGTCTCTTCAATTTAGCCTTCTCCATGGCCTCAAGTTTGACAAGGACAGCGTCAATCTTTGACACAATGCTTCCAATGGAGTGTTCCATGCGATCCACACGACGGCTTAGTCTGTTAAAAAGAGACATGAACTGATGATTGTTTGTACTTATTAATGAATCAATATTGTTTTATGATACATTCGCGTTAAATTCATCAATTAATCAATCAATCAATCAATCAATCAATCAATCAATCAATCAAACAATCAAACAATCAATTTTGTTTATGATGCATACACGTTGAATTCTTCATAAGAAACTCCTCCACCACCTCCACGGCGATGTCCAGTAGCCGAACCAGCACGTCCACTGAGTCCTCCCGATTCATCATCATCATCGTCACTCTCGGCATCACTTCCACGGAAACTGACACGGCTTCCACTCTTTGGTCGATTATCCTTCTTGCGCTCCATCTCCTCGATCTCTTCATTAAGTTCGGCCTGGAAAAAAAAAAACATTATTAGCAGAATAAAAACAAGATAGCATGGTAAGCTAAATATCGTAGCTTATCGTGCTCGCCAGTCAGTTTGTTTTCATAGCTATATCATAATACCATTTAATTGCGTGAACAATTTCCGAGACATACACTAACTATACCGCAGTTAATATATCAACAYCCATGATAAGAAAACAATTTCCGGAAAATGAAGAAAATCTTTACCTTTTGTCCTTCCAGATCTTCTTGCATGCGTCGTTGTTCATCTTCATCAAGAATACGATCACCGTCCAAGTCATATCTCGCAAAAACWGCTTCGATCTCAGCATCGGCATGACCACGACTGACAAAAAAGCAATTGCATTTTAGGTTGAAATTAGAAAATGACCACAAACAAAATTGGAATACTGATATCGCACTAGGGCTGGACCTCAACTGTTTTCCCAAGCAAATTGAATTTGCGTAAAAAATTTCGTTTTTCAATGCTTTGAATGAAAACTTACGATTTCAAGGTCTGACGCCATTCTTCGAAGTCGAGCTTGTTGTCTTGATTAACGTCTGCGGATTTTAGAGCCTTCTGAATGTCGATAATCTTYTCTCTCTTGAAAGACAACTTGTTAAGGACGTTCTGATAGCCCTGTACAAAGAARTTAAATGATGATTTAAGCCTTTTCCCCATCGTACAGCAGGTCACAATTTCTCTATTACTCARACCAAAGTTATCTCYGGATAAAGCGCACTAAGAAAGTGAATCGTTTTCCTACGTGTATATAKATYAAAACATATACTTTTGTTCAGCCAATAAAAGGCGTTGAGAAATATAAACATTCTGTGGTTGCTTAGGATAGCCAATGATAAAGCTTGCCCTTAATGGCGGGCTTCTAGAATTCTTAATCTTGCGCGTTTAGTTTTTCTCTGTACTTAATTGTTTAACAATACATGTGGCTTCCATAAAATGAAAATAAATAGATATAATAATTAAAAAGGCTCATATGATGCAAACTCGGCCATTCTAGAAATGGCTTTCAACAGAACATGAGAGGAAATGGATTTTCTCGTTGAGTCGTGAAKCTAAAAGGCCCCTCAAGTCATACTGTGATCAATGATTCGAAAGTTCCAATTATCGCGAAATTTGACAAACGCGATAAACACTTTTTGCTGACACTGACGCAAATCATGCACTACTCTCTCTAAATTGCATTGCGTTACATTGTCACTCAGTATACTACGAAGTACAGCTGAGAAATCTGTTTCAGCTTTACCTTCTTGAAGTAGTCAGTGATCTCGAATTCGCTCTCTTGTGAAGCAATATCAGACTTGACTTCAGCATAAGTGTCATTGATGATGGCCAAGAACATGTTGAGCAACACGAAGAACACAAAGAACACGTAGGTGATGAAGAAGGTAGGGCCAAGCACACGRTTGGCATTCTCGATCTGGTGGAAGTCGAAGTCTCCAAGGATGATACGGAACAGTGTAAAGCTAACAAAGATTAGAAAAGTATTTAAGTTTCATTTTCTGTTATATGAACTTTTCGTTCACTTCTTTTCTTGTCTCGATAAAAGATTTGTCTGATGTTAGTATTAAAGTTGCTTTCATCCAATCAAGATAGGTATTTTTCTTGCTACTTGTTGCTGTCGTTGATGTTTTGTCCAGGGTAAGATTTAGGACTAAGGAGGGGTGCAGGGCTCTCAGTAGGGGTGTATTCCAGAATAATGATAACAAACGAGACAACCATTAAGGAAAGGTATTGATACAAGTTCTCAGGATAGGGCGCGTACCTCCTTGCAACAACCAAACTGGATCCGCCCTAGCTATTTAGTTAATTATACTTACATGCTGTCTTGRAATGTACTGAAGTCACGGACTTGCGTTCCAAAGATGAGATATCCAAGTTGTGCGTATGCAAAGAAAATGATGAAGAACATGATGGCAAAACCAGCGACGTCTTTTGCACACTGTATACACAAGTAGCAAACACATTGTAAGTAGGAGATCGTTGTTTAGAACAATCTAGATGTAAAAGCAAAAGTATTCTTACCTTTGATAGTGTAGACGAAAGTTGGTTCATTGTCTTGTTGAAACTGATGTATTTAAACACCTGAGAAGAAACACAGAGTTTTCAATTATAACAAATATRTAAATAACATGTCAATGTGGTAGTCTTGACAGCAAGATCCAATCATAGCAACTTGGTAGTCATAGTATAACATACCTTGATCCATGCAAAGAACACAGCCACAGCAACCATGTTRTTAAACTGTGTCTGCCAGAATCCAAGGTTGTCAAAGTTTGCATACTGATTGCTGTTCTCAAGTAGCGAGCTGAGTAGCTCACCGACAACAACAAAACGGTACAGGTTGAACAGAATTGCAACGTAACCCAGCATGATAACAACCACGTCCAAAATGTTCCAGAAGCTCTTGAAATACTGCATTTTGTGCTTTTTGATCTCAAGAATTTCCTCGATAGTATAGTATATAATGAAGATGATGAACAAGCCCTCGCAGGCCATCACAAAGTGGTCCATGGCTGTCACGTATCGGATAAGTTTCAGGGTACGGAAGTTGAATGACGGGATGCAACCTCCAGTGGGTGGGTACTCAAAGAGAAGCCTATGGAAAAGACCGATATGATTCATTTTAAGTAATTTAGAAAACACACTGATTGGACATTGGCCATAATTACTTTGAGGTATACAAGTAGTCTTTCTTAAGAGCAATTTTTCAATAGCAACACTTCATTGACCCACCTTACAATGCAGAAAAGATTAATGTTGGCATTGTAAACACTGAAGTCGATAAAAACAGCACGCGTACCACGATTAAGCCACAAGTTTTGCTAAAAATACAAAACTCGATTAGTGAAGCGTTAGAAACCCAGTCACTGGCAATTTTCATTGACAATTTTCTACATAAGTGGATGAATAATGTACTAAGATAATGATTACTTATGATCATAACGCTAGTTAGCAACTTTACATACTACATACTTTGAGATCAGCAAAGATTTCTTTGGTCTTATCTTTCTTTTTTGCTAGTAGTTGTGTAAATCCACCACCAGCGTAAGTAGCCATACGACCCCAATAAGATCGACTTTGGAGGATCTTTTGGTCTTTATATTCCCACCTATCAAATCAAGGGCAGGTTATGTCATCATCAAGTCCACGTACACTTCGACTGTCATCTTTAAGTGTACCTTCTATTATATCATCCTCACCGATGAAAATTCGATTTTTTTTTGTTAATAATACTTTGATTGTTTGATATGTATTGTTCATTTTATTCCATATATTAAAAATTTCATGGTTTGCATGTAATGATCTTTATTTAACCATAGTTAAATATATTACACATGGTAAAAAGACTACTTACGCACTGCCGTTCATTTTACCGAACGGACTTGTGTCTTCAGAACTTTCAGAGTACGGCGCATAGCATTCCTTGATCACACTTTTAAAGTCACTRTGAACTCTGTAAGTAAATGTAAAATATGATTCAATGATTATGACATCGAATGATAATGATGATTCGAATGATAAAGGCGTCATTGTTCTTCCCACGTTCCCTTGGCTTATGTTTACATATTCTACGGGGGAGGRAGGATTAYCGTCCGATATAATTTACTTACTCGCACGAGTCATTACGGACACGGACTTGACGGATTCGAGGCATGCCAAGGACTTTGTTTTCGAAATAAATATAGCCCATATCATCGTTGCTGACGTTGACATTGTTGTAATACTGTTCCCAGTACAGTCCATCYGAGAGAGGTCCATTGACGTACTGAAAGAAACGATTATTGTCAGAAATGAAATGAAACAATTGGAAATTTTAAATCTGGATAATGGACTGAAGGATATTGGGAACTGACGTAGAAATACTTCTCAATATCATGTTGCTTTTACTATATAACCTACCATCCAGAACTCTTGCATTGTGGTGATRTCCTTGAAAGTATTCCTGTTTGACATACTACTTTCAACAAAAAGATCTGAGGAACAACAAAAAAGTCAGTTGGTCAGTAGATAGTAAGTCTCAGTCAATCAGTCTGTCTGTCCATTGACTTACCTCGCATCACTTTSGTGAAGTAGTACATGGTTGAGCTTGTCATTCCAAATGTCACTGAAAAACGAAAAAAAATGATCAACATCTTTGAAATAGTCTCCTTTGCAGGCGTTATTAGTGATCGAGGAAGGAAAACAAAGGCGATCTCTGGAATCAAAGGACCGGCTGTGTAGAAGTCTATTCTATTAAAAGGTACTTACAGATGCAGAGAATGGTGATGAAGACCATGTAGATGATAAGTTCTCTCAAAGTGGTCTTGATGTGCATTTCTCGGTCGCTGTCTGTGTCCTCTGTCTGCCGCGTTCTCCATAATCCTGCAAATATACCGCGTCCGGGTCAGTCTATCGGAGTTCAAGTCTCATTCTCGTCAGATACAAGTGTAGGACCTTACAAGAAGGGTTCCGATTGTGAAAATGTAAATATTAATTTTTGTTTAGTTGATCCTTGATACAGACACTGTATGTCAAAACCACACTATAACAACAGGACAAACCGCAAAAACTGCCAATATGCTTTAACGACATTATTTTTTAATAATCATAAATATTACATATGTYTATTGAAAGCCTAAAGTTGGATAGACCAAACAAGAAGAGGAGGTTTTAACTTGCGAAACCAGTTTTCTGACAACTCAAATACCGACTATAGGAATATTGTTCGTGTGCGCCTTTTAGTTCTCTACTCTCAGTATCAATGACGTCATGTATTACGACATWAMCGAAAATTACAATGTCTTCTTAACTTTGAAGCTTTTGGACATTTAGAGCTGGCATTGGATTATGCGGGATTAAGCCAGATCTTTTTAGTTCTTAGGCAARAGAGCGCACAGGTGACCATCTGAAATATTTTGCATTTACTCGGTGAGAGCGGTACTCAYAGTCCGTTGGCCAAGATGAAAAGATTCTAAAAAGAACTAGAAAATCACGGAATGGAAAACAATCACAAAGAAAGCGTAGTAAAGAGAAGAAAGAATAAGGAAATTTTTCGGCGCGAAWACAAAAAACAAAAATACAGACGACGCGCTCTTCGGTTGTTTAATCGCAAGAGTTAGTTTATCAAAATATTGCACTTCTGAAATAAACCTTGTTATATWATGTGAAGTTGTTTATTTATGCTATCAATTAACAGTTCCCACACCAGGATTTTTTTCAATATTTTTCTCTTTCTCTTTTCATGTTTGAAGATACATATGTAATCAATTTTCTAGCAGCTCAGTATGGCACTATATCCGATCGTGGGCGTTTAGACTATAGATAACCAACAAAATAACAATTATGTTTATTAAAAACCGCAGCATACMCCAACATGAAGACTAGATCTGTTGGGGGCTTCTTTTCAAATTCAAATGATCCCATATCACAGCTATGGCCACTGTGACACAATCTCATCGCTTATCTGCAATTTACTAACTTTATTGAYTGTACTCAAACCTTAATTCAAATACAGTTTCATTTCCGCCAAGAGTGTCTATAAATTTTGCATACATTTTACTGGCATTGCTAGAAAACAGCGAACAGTGTTGTTGACATATCATGGCAGCACCCCGTAGATTCAATGACTTGATAGCGAATTATACCATTTCCATGGTAACATTTTTTCCAACTTTGACGAAATTAGGTTGTCATGGAAAAAGACATTTCTTTGAAAAGATGAGATATCCTTTAGGGGCGCCTGGGAATATACTAGGAGCAGATCGCGGACTGATAATTAACATCAAAGAGATAATACTTTTTAACGTCTAACACTCTAAGGGTTTTGTAACTGTAACTCCCCGGTTTCATTATGTTTATGGAACAATGCAATATCAAAGTGCTAATTTCTTTAGTCAAAAGTAGCCTCTGCTTTGAATACAAAAGAGATATAAAAACAATTTACCAAAAACAATAGAAAAACGTATATATTTCTAGCAAAGGTCATCAAAATTAGATTCAGAAATATTTATATAAAACATAAAAAGACCAAAGTAGAAATTCTAGGCGTTGACGTTTAGGCGCTTTTATGGGTAATTTAGCGAGAAAAACTGAAAACGGTAATGAAAAAAGGTGCGAAAAACCTCTTGCCGCAAAAACGTAATTTTGTGGTTGCATACAAATGACGACCAAAAAACTCCATCACCGGACAGACCGACGTGAACTTGATCTTGTTCTGTACAATAAGTTGTTTTCCTCTTAAAAAGGCCTCAGATAAGATAGATTAATGATGAAGACTCACATCTAGAATTTTCTTCTTTTCCATGAATTATTGATTATGTGGAGTTGTGGTAGCCCAGTTCTGGCAAACTAATACCGTCCATAACCCCTTGGTTTCTCATTTGGGTGAAGTTTCACCGCATTTGATATGAAATGTTTTAAGTAAGAGATAGTGATAGCGAACTTTGGATTGCCTTTGGGGTTTCGACCAGATTCAATCCCAAAATCCACTTATTTTACAAAAGTTTTTCAATATTTTTTCGCAGCGAGTAAACATTGARACGAAGAAACACCTGTCTCTCATTAAAATTTTAGCTGGATTCGAATATTGAAGAGACAAGAAGTTTAAAACATAGTTTAAAGTTATCTAGAAATAAAAATCAATTGGAGCTATAGATAGATCGGATCTTCAAAAGAGAAGCAATTTCAAGATGTTGATTTTGACAGATATTGTATGACAAATCCCGCTAGGAAGATTCCGAGTATAAAAACATTGCGATTAAATGCCGAATATTTCACCATGTAGCTTTCTCTGTGTTTCTGTAATGATAGCTAGAATTGACTAACAACAAACTGAAACACAATCTATCGATAAAACTGATAGAATTCAACCGCTAAAACACCATATTTACATTTTCAGCCTTGGGAACATAAACTATGTTACAGCACGCTACGCACGAGCGATTTTTAATGGATTTTCGCTTAGTATTTTCTGGTCAAACGCTCGATATATTTACCAAACTTACCTCGTACAATTCTCTTAAATCGAGTCCAGCAACCGACAGGAACATTCTTTGCTCCAGGAGCCCGTACATCGGCTGGAACACGCTTCTGGTGAGACACTGGTTCGGCTTCCATGGCCGAAGGAATAACATCGACAGCGGCTGAAGCGGGAGCTCGAGGCGAAGTAAAGTCAATATCGTCTCCTCCTTGTCCGGTAAGAAGATCATCGTCAGACCAAGCGTTCCTAGAGTGTGAAGACTGAGGCCTTCCTTTCTCGCTCATCTCCATATCATCGTTCATGCTCATGCCAAGGCTCGCTTGCGAACCCGGACGATTTCGGCGTTTGGCCGAGCTTTGACTCATTTTATAAACAACCCCTTAAAATCTCAATCGGTTGTCAGGAGATAATAGCTCAGWATAAGCGAAATAGCTCAGAAAAAGTAAAATATTCTAGTGAGATACGCTGGTTCAACTCGGTTGTCTAATCTCTACGATTTCAATACCCGATGTGAGTTTAGAAGGTCTTCTCTCATCAATATTGCATGACCTACGTAAGGGTGTCAATCATACAGTACTAATTAATTAAACAATCGCCATAGAAACACACTGCTRAGCCAAGATCAAACAAAAAATTAAAAGAATAAAAAAAGAAATGCGAATAATAAATAGGATTTTYTTTCATTTTTGGCACTCAGATATATTTATGCAGTCAAGATACGTGAAGTTTCTTGAGCTCTCATCATGTCATTTCAGGTTTTATGAGTTGGACTCATTAATTTTTTAGCGGTTTTTGAAATATGAAAATTACATAACAAAAACATTAATGCCGTCTAATCTCATTGGATGAGAACTCGAAAAGACTGAACAATTTCGAAACATTTTTATGGTTCAAAAAAAAAACTGCAAGAGACTTCCATGGGAAATTTAAAGGAAATATTTCTGGTTTTGTTGACGCATACTGCCTTGACAACCGACTGTCATTTTCAAACTAAGGAAATTTAAAAGATGAAATCCACCTGCCTCGTWAAAGTAACCTGTGACGTCACTACGAAAACTAATCGCTAGAAGAACTACGCTGATTGGTTGATTTGACAAAGAATGTCCTGAAAACTTCCCATTTATTTACCGATATGTCTTCCTGAGTAAATATATTTAAAATTCATCTTGATAATGGCCTTGACACATAGTTCGAAATGATCATAGAAACKTTTTTGGAACAYAATACACCTTTTAATTTCTTCAACATGAGCCGCGAAACAAACAGCTCAAAGTTTTTTGGGCATTATGCAAAAATCCTCTAGCTACCAATTGCCGGCACGTGACTATCCATATRCTTAACGAGCAAAGTACTAATAGATTCTACTGAACACGCATGTACTATTAACACTAAATTCACTCCATTAAGGCTGTAAGGTTTTTACGAACTGTAAGGTTTAAAACCCGATTTACGTTTTTAGCGGTTTGGGTTCCTTTGTTCCCTTATCAACGTGACAGTTCCAAATGATCTTTTCTTGTTGCTGCGGTATTTTTTTTTTTTACAATTATTTGGCCGATGATTCTAGATTAACGGGAATTTCATGAGAATCTTGGACTGAATGTAGTTTATCACGTCATGACTTGTCCGTTTAGATGCAGAGTAAGTTTCGAAGATAGACAAGAGAGGTCCTTAATCTTTCCCTGGAGAGAAAAGCTGACAGCTATTGGCCTTACCGACACTTTCTTGAGAGCACTGCTTTTAGCGCATTTTTATTATTTAACGGTAATTAGTAGACTCTTAAGAACTCTGTCATGTTGCATTACGTGTATAAGCGAACTGGTCTCAAAAATTTTGTTTTGTTAATTAAAAACCCCACGACATTTTCAGTCTGATGAAATGTTTCTCCGAGGATCGTGCATTTCTATTTCTACATTAAGAGTCTCTCTTCAAGCTGTCGCGACATTTTGTAAAAGTTTATTCCTGTTTATTAGGTAAACGTGCCAAGCGGAATTGGAATCTGTCAAAGCAGTAGCTTTATTTAAGTGGACGTTGAGACGGTGAGAGTGTTCCAGAAACATTTGGCATTCATCTTTGTGACGTAATGGCCTTTCTTTTTCAAAAATAGCAAAAACTGGAATTGATTGTACAGATCAATACTGAAGGAACGCTTACAAACTGTTTTTGTCTCATTCAACGAATCACTGTCAAAAGATCAAGAACCATAAATCTTTTCAATCTTATTTGTAAAAAAAAAAGAATAGAGATCGTGCACAAAGATAAAGTGACTCATTTTAATTTGTCGAAAAACAAAAAACACATTTTTCTTGACGATGTTAAGTAAGCCACATACCAGACCCTACTTAAATCAGACGTCAGAACTAAACCATTCGGGATATCGATACAAACCGAGAGAAAGTACTAGAGGGAAAAGATTTTATGAAATATTTAAAAACAATGGTTCATTTGATAAATATATCCTAACTTGATATCCTAACTTGAAGTTGATTGGTTCCTGGACGGTCAGCAGCCATATTGGCTAGTAGTCTAATAGTGAGTCCTCATTCATGAACTTAAAGTCTAAAGAATATTTGAAATTAAAGCACGTTTTCTGTTTCTGATCACTTTTGGTCGATTGTGGATTCAGGGGCAGATTTAGGTGGTGTAGCACATCTAGCCTAACACCCTTATAGTAACAGTGTTAGCACAGAAGTATATTGTATGTATATGGCAAATTTATATCTGCCATACAAAAAGAACTATTAGAATGATCGACCAGAAAGGATAATTGAATTAGGCACATGTGGGATTCGGCCTTCAATTCTAATATGAACGTACTACACTGTCCAAAAAATAATAATGTAAGGCTATAACAATGCTGACAAGGGAAACCATGTATCTCATCCACTGCAACATTAATCCAATTTAAAAATGTATTAGTGTACCACAATATACCATGTAGACGCCGGCGGTGGATTAATTAAATACATTCAACGTAAACGTCAACATTTGCCTTCGGCGTTTTAAATATTAGGAATTGTAAACAGATTTAACGATACAAATTAATTGAATTTCTACTAATATCATTGATGAGATAAAAGATCCCCTTCCCTCGTCCACACGTACCGGACGTTTTGTCAGCATTTTTTTTTTTTTTTTCAGCAATATTTTCTTTCGGATACAAAATTTATGACCCAAGTTCTGATTTAAGGAAGTTTTCGTTTTCGATCGGTCGGATAAGTGTTAATTAAAATTGTGTCGCTTAGAACTTTATTTTTAATTATCAAATATTAGCCGAAGTATCAAAGGTTGGAATTTTAATTCCATTTCTCATGTTATTTACAGCGGTGACCTACACCTTAATTTTGGCTAGTTTAGGCCGAAAATTGACTAAAAGTGAAAGGGTTAATCCCAAATCTATTCTACAGACGGTAATCAAATACTAACAAATTACTAATTGAAATGGAATATCTGAGGGAAATCTTGGTTGTTATAAACATGTCAATCGTTTTCAGACGATTTACCGAAGACGATAAATAGTCATAACACGTTTGACTACTTCCATTTAATAAAAGATGTGGTGTGGTTTAAACTGTTTAAATACATCTATTGATGATTACTACGATACTGAAATAATGCTCGAGTCTCTCCATTTATTCCAACATGTCAAAGTCCATTCTTTCATTCCTTCAGTTCTTTGTTCATTTGCTTTTTTCAGTTATCTGTTCACATGAAACACTAATTAATGAGCCCTTGCATTAAGTTGTGAATTGATAATGAAATATTTTCGATCACTTTACTTTTAAACCAACATTTTTTCCTAAAAATAATTCTTGATCTACTGTTTTATCTCATAAAATATGTGATTTTCATTAAAAGCACTCTTTGCTTTGATATGTTTATGCAATTATCAGCTACAATTCTATTCAAACTATTGTTTATCTTACTTCTGGAGTTTTACATCATTGTTCCAGTAATACTAATATCACCATCAATAATTAGAGTACCAATAATCTTTGCAGTCATTAAATAACAATTGGCAGTTATTACAGAAACCASTCATCATCATCATCATCTTCATAATCATCATCAATATCTTGTCCTTCAAAAAGTCTATTGAAGCAACCTTCTCCTGGGTTGTTGAAATGTAAGTATGGGTTACCACAAGAAAGCAAGGCATTGCACAGCCAACAAAAATGACTTTTACACTTGGAGCAGGTCATCTTGTTACAACCTTCAGTTTTTTGAATACAGAACCCACAACTTGGACATTTTTTAGCATTTTCTGTCAGCCATTCCTCTGAAACCACATCATCAAAGACACGCTGGAGTCTCTGCTTTCCATATCTCTTCTCCATTAGGGATCTTTCTTCTTCACTGGATTTTATCCATTCATCTCTAAGCATCCTGGACTCAGAGACAGTTATTGAGCATGGAGAGATACCATGTGATGTCTTCTTACAAAAGATACAGAATGCATAGCCACAACTAGGACAGAGACCTAYAGTTGACTCTTTTTCAAGCAATACGTTGGTCTGGCATGCTTTACGTGGGCAGTAAACAACATCTGTCATTGTATCCAATGTAGTTTGGAGCAGAAACTTCTCGTAGTTTGCATATAAATCTGRACTGACTAGACTCTTCACTTGAGATGGCTGTGCCTGCGTTTCGCATTTTTCTGTTGGACATGTTAGATTCTTGACATCSCCTTCCTTTATCTGTACAGTAAAGTATCCTCCCAGACAATCACAGCAAAAAGTATGGCCACATTCATAAAACCTCATACATACTGATCCCTGTTTTTCACTAAGGCACACATCACACTTGAAATAACTGGTGTTGAAAATCCTTTCCATCTCYGATTCATTAAATTTAAAAACAGCTTTCATCATTGATGAATATGATCCTACATCTTGTATTGCACGTTTGTCAACTGGACTTGACCCTATGTTTGTCATTTTACATACAACTCGTCTCTTGGTTTTCTTAGCAAAATGCAGTTCACATGGACTTTGTATATTTAAGAGGCTGAGTGCTTCATCTTTGATGTAAGAGCCCCATGTGTAAATGATCTCCTCAGGTCCCCTCTCTTGCCATAGATTATCCAAGTATTCACAAAGCCTTGATAACTAACAAATTAAAAAATAAATAACTGACTTTTTGTGATTCCTGTAGTTCTCCTATGATGGGTGTTCAATGTTTAGTCAAGGGGGCAAGGCAAAATGTATTTTTTCTTCTGTTTTCGAGTTCTTCATTAAAAACGTCTGCCATCCTAATTTTTYGGACATTTAGTTTTCTTTTACAATTATCCACTGACCTGTTTGAAAATGCTGTTTGACTTTCAATATGTTTGATTGTCTGGGTTTCACTTCATAATCCTGGGAAGTTAAAGCCAGGACAATCAACCATATCAAAAGTCAATAGCTCTCCCCTCCAGGGGTAATTTCCAGCCTCATACATGTTCAAACATGCGTTAAAATCCACGCTATTTGCCCCACTTGGACTGACAATTCTTCAAAATCCCAACCCAATCTTGCTATTAAAAGCACATTAAAAACGCGTTACATCCCCGTTCAGTGCCCCGCTAGTCCCGGGGAGCAGGGGGCGGGGATTTCAATTAACTAGTGCATTAGTCTCCTTTCACAGCATCTACAATGTTCTTTCTGAACGAGTCTGTAACAGCTACTAGACGAGACTAAAATATACCAAAACAGTTTGTCAGAATCTGACTCGTCCCCCTTTCTTATAGTGTCTCGAGCGCGAGATAGGAGAGAATGACTGGGGACGAGTAAGAGTCATAATGTCATTTGCAAACTAAACATGAGGCTTACTGCAAAAAAAAAAATCAAACTCCTGGGGAAAATGGTGTCAGATATTGATTCATTAATTTACGAAGTGTTTCGGTGTCAGAAGTAATTTATCGACTGTTTTTGCAACMGCAGTCGACTGTCAGACACCGCGAGGCACTTTGATTGTTTTATTATTAACAAGCTTACCTGCAATCTTGTCAGCCATTTACAGGAAAGAGTAAAGTTTGGAGGTGATGTGGAAGGGTAGTCCTTAGGGAACTCAAAATTCAGAACAATAGGAGGCAAATGCTTGATTGGAAGGTTAACCAAACGATCACTAGTACCGCGGGCAGTACTTCCTTGATCCGAGTCGCTTTCAGTAGCTTTGCTTCTGAGAGACGATGGAACTTGTGATGAACGTACTTTCAAAAGAAACCCATCCGGAAGATCGAGAGAAATGTTCAGCTGTCCTCCTTTTTCTTCTGGTGAACGGATAAACATTCTTTCTTCTTCATAAATTGATTCGAGTGCGAGAAGTTCATCTTCCTGCCCTTCCTCGTCCGCCATCTTGCAAACCAGTTTCACGGTATGGACTGGGTTCTTTTGGCTCCCCCCTTGGGTTTTAGGGAATCAAAATGGCTGAATGATGGAAGTCTGCTGATGCTCTTTTCGTGTTATGGCCAAAAAGATGCGATTTAATCAAAAAGAACTCGCTTATATCGCATGCACGAGTGATATTCCATTCGACAAGGAGGGTATTCTTTGGCTGAAGGAAAAAGAGGGGTATTTTATTAAAAACGAAGGTATTTCAATCTTGTTTATGACAGATCATGTTTCGACTGAAAGTGAAAACAAACATTCTTRCGTGGAATTATATCTAAGCTTACATAACTTTAGCCCAAAAATCTTACACGTTTGATTATYTAAAGGCTTTTTGCTATATATTTTCAAAATGTATGACAGGTGAAACTTGTTTTAATCTATTTATAGCTAAAACCTTCTAACTTACAGTATCTCTTTTTATCAATTATTAAGCTTAATTAATGTACACATTAGTACGATTCATTTTCATAATTCTGTTTGCAAATAAARATGTTGTTGCTGCTTGTTATTTTGTGTTTTCTATGAAAGCTTTCTAAATGAAAAGAAAGCAAGATTGGCTGATAGTTCATGTACTTGAGGTTTGCTGATAGAGCAGGCTTCATACATTTGTATGAGTGCGACTTAGCTTTACTGTAGTTGTAATTAATCTTTTCTCAGTTCAGTGTTTTCTGTCATTGCCAGAGAAGGCTCTAGTGTCCTCTGTGTAATTGTGTTCTAAACCATTGCACAGTTTTACAAAATCTGCCCTGCTTGTTTCTTATAGACTAATGTAAAGTTATTTCTTTACTTGGCAGTTTATACAGAAAGATGGTTTCGCCTCAAAGGCAACATTTTATTTTATTTCAAGACAAAAGACAAGGTAAACAAATCCAGCATTAGCAATATTAGTCTTATCCCCAGGCTGCTCTCTGACCTCTCTAGATCAGCACTTATCCAAGAGGCCCAGATTATCTAAATTGCTACAAATTTGAGAAGTTCACTAAAAAGAGACAAATTGAAAGTGACATTATGCTGAATCACATACTAAGAGTAGCCAAAGGGAATTATGTGAAACAATTATTGATTTCCCTGTCAAACAGTGGGTGTCTGTGTGAACTTGCATTAAATACTCTAAGCAGATGTTTATATACAAATATATTTCTTTTAAGAAGAGGCAACAATAATATTTGGTAATTAGGCCTAATGACCTGCATTGCAATCAAGAATTTTAATCTAGGACAATCAGGTAGATATTG